CATTCTATGACGGGCGACTGCGTAGTCAGTTCTTGTAGGTCTTCCACAAGTGCATCATAGCACCTGTACTACAGGCTGCAAAGTTAAAGACTCCGCCTTTCACCACACAAGAGCCCTCAATCTCTTTCGACGTAACAAAGAAGTTGGCGCTTATAAAAGTCAGAAAATCTGAAAATAGGTTTGGGCCCGTTACTCAGCGCTCATCGATGCTTGCGGGAACCGCCTCCGGCTAAACTCTTCCTCGCCCTGGCCAAACACAAGCCTAATACGTTGTACCATCTCTGGAATCCGTAATGAAACAAACGAACCCCCAGATGTCCCAGTAGCAGCTAGGAGAATGAGAAACTGTGCACAAAACGTGCTCAAACAGTGATGATTTCGCCTATTATGAATATGAGAGCCATCTCCGTCATCTTTTTCAAAGTCGATGCATTGAAGAGCTCGCCACTGAGAAGGATGGAAGAGTTTGACTACCAAGCAGAAGTTGACTGACTCCTGGCGCGAGGCCTTACTCGGGGCCCCAAAATTCTATTGTCTTAGTCGAGGCAGATGAGAACCTGAGGCAAGCCACCGGCACTAACAGATCCCCTGAACTCTTCTCAAGAATTTGGGAACGTTCTGACTGACAGTGAAACAACAAATTCAAGCCAGTAGGGAATGAATGGAATGTTATGTATCAGGACAATTAAACAAATCAATGAATCCAGCGTGGAATGCATTCTATCATTTCATAGGCAGCAGTAAGCGGACCTCTACATACTTGGTACAAAGCACATTGGAAGAGTAAACAGTTCTGCACCAGAATGAACAAGACATGAACCACATCTGGGATATCACAGAGAGTAACCCCAGAGACATCTCTGATTCTGCTTCTCATCCATGATTCCTCTCAGAAAATTTCCTCACACATCCCTCATTCTGCTGGCGACGTAAAAATATAGGGGGTGATAGGTGAGGAAGCTGACTCCAAAGTACTCCAGAGTGGCTTGCAACAACTAAAACTCTGGTCGTCAGACACCGGCCCCAGCTTCAATCTGGAGAAGTGCAAAGTAACATAAGGTAAATGGATCAACGACTGCCGGATACGAACACGAATACAAGTTGAGTCACCGTACCATCACCAAAATGTCTACGGAGGAGGGCCTCGGCCTCCAGTCATCCAACACTCTAAATACTAGTCCTAGCTATAGAGAATTCGCTGCAAGGGCGAACACCATTCTGCGTTCCCGGTTCAAGCAGCTTGGGGCCCCCATACCAAAACTCCTTCAGACGGTTTTCAAATCGTCTTGAGAGCGGCATCTTGAATTGCTGAATTCAGTAGTACTTCCGACCCCAAAGAGCAGCTCCAATCCCCTCAAGAAAGTGCACAGATCCGTGGGGAAAGCAGTTGTCAGGTGCGTGGTGAAAGATTGGTGCAATTAAATATATTTACTTTCGGTGTCCGAAAAAAGAGGAGAGGATGTTATTGCGGCTTATAAGATTATCTACCAAACGGATAACGCATCGATACTGGCCCTGATCGAAATATGGTGGCCGTCACGTGGTAGTCCTATCAGAATAGCACATCAGACAGGCGACACCGGGCTCAAATCAGACTTCTTTTCCCTAAGAGTGTGTACATTATGGAATGCCCCACTATAAAAGGCAGTTATAGTCTCCTAAATGGAATCATTTAAGAGGTTGGGCAACTGTCAACAAGCATAGCTTACCAGTGACGCACTCAGAGGACTAATCACCTCAGTAGCCGCCTAGCAGAGCCTGTCTAGCTCTTCGCCACCCCAATACTGTCTTCTTTTTACTTATCCCCTACTGTTTGCTTTGATACCCACTCTATCTTCTAGCCCATAGCTCCTAACGCTCTCGTCCTGCCTACTTTGCCCCTCCATGAATATCCCATACACCCATTTTGCCCCTATTATGCCACTCCCTTTCAGACACCTATGCATGTAGAAAACACAAGAAAACCCCCAATCGTTTCTGCAGCTCATAGCTTCCTGACCAACTCAGTCTGCAAGCTGCACATGCAAATTTAAAGAAAATGCACCCCCACCGGACCTAACTGCAGCAAAGCAGAACACACTGTCCTTCTCATTACAGAAGCTGAACTGTCCTTTTCCTGCATTCAGTCTTCAACCCTCTTATTGTTGTTAACTACTTGTTTTCCCAAGAAGTTTATATCATAGCGACATGTCTGCCCAAAACGCTAGGTCTGAAGCTTTGACACGGATAACGCGGTCGTGCACAACAACGGCCAGTAACACCCTAAACAACACACTAGTCTGTACTAGAAGACAAACAGAGGTAGGGCAGAACATCGAACTTCTGAAGAAGTGGCCAACCCATGTTTCTAGAATTCCAGTCGCCATCAGACAGGTGACACAGAGAAGCACTAGCCCGTCACAAACTAGTCCTATCTTGAGCAAGGATCATACCATGCCTGAACATAGAAGACGACGTAAAAGGCTTCAGAACAAGGCAGCCACAAGCAGTTCGCCACAATCCGTAGCACCTTATTCATGGAAGGAAGGCTGTATTACGACACCCGATGGCTGCAGTGTTTGCACCAAAGTTGTTTCGGTAGTCGATGAGGCATTTGCATGCAACCTGTGTCAACGATGGGTGCATTGCCACTGCGATACCAAAGTCCCCCGACAATACTATAAGCTGATGAAGAGACAACCATGCAAGTGGTTCTGGTACATCTGTCCAGAGTGCAGGAAAATGCCCGCACTCCGCACAGAAAGCCTGAAGGAGATGCTCTCCGCCACGCAAAAGCTACCAGCATCCCGAATAAGGTAGGGTTAACACCAAAGGATAACACAGAGAGACCTGGAAACAGACCTAGAGCTCCAGCTGTGGGCACGCCATCTCGCGTGGGGACCATATTAGGTCAAGTCTCCATACCCCCACCCGGCCCCAGGGGACGTCAAGCGCATGGCCAAAGACATCGACCGCCGAAGCCTCTACGAAACCCATTCCGAACACCCCACACACCGTGACTGAGAAACAACCAGTGGAATTACTCAAACCCATTGGGAAGTCGGGCGTGCCACCCACAACGAACCCAGGTCACAGGAGGACCAACTCGATCATTTTGTTCAACGTCGATGTATCGACAGACTCATTGTTGGTCGAGAGGGAACAATTTGACAGCCGAATGTGGACCGACTACTGTCAGATGCTGGGACTCCCTCCCCTCCCTGCAACTTTGTGTCGCCTTTCTCGAGGAAGCCATGCACCCCGAGATAAGCCCCCCCTTTACGTGTGTCCCTAAATACCGCCAAAGAGGCTGAAGACACACTCCTCCTCTCACGACAACCGGACGTTGTTAATGCCTGTAAAATTCGGGCCAGGCCTGACAAGCCATGGTCAGTAAGAGAGGAGGAGAGAAAGTCAGCGGTTGGAAATCCCAACAGAAACAACACTATAGTTGTACATGGGATTCCAGAATTGCCAAGTGACAGCTCGGTCAAAGATCGGTACTTTCACGACGTCCAACAATGGCAATGGCTCTCAACCAAAGTTGGTCTCAACAGTATACCGGCCAACAGCGTCAGTAGACTGCCAAGGCCAGCGCACCTGAAGACCATACCCAATCCCAGACTACTTGCCGTCCAGTTCGACTCATATGCCTCCCTCACAGACGTTCTGCACGCATGGTATAATGCGAAAGATCGCATGGGTGGCTCAATACGTATATGTGAAAGTAAGCCTAGACCCACAAGGCAAGAGGAGAGACGGCAACCACCAAGACCTCTGGAGTCAGTGGTCGTCACACAGGCGCTGACCAGTGAGTTAGATACATCAAGTAAAGAAGCCACCACTGCTACAGCCCCCACCCAAGTTAAGAACAAAACACAAAAAACGGAACAATGCCAGTCCTATGAGGACTGGCGAGGCTAAACAACCACGTAAGCGCTCATCCTGCGAAAATACACATCCAGACCTCCCCCTCATCAGGTACACTCTAATATGTATGTACAGCAACGTTAGGGGGCTAATAGGGAAGGTAGCAAAAATGAGGACGCTGCGTGAACATCAGCACTCCGACATCATATTCATCACCGAATCCTGGCTCTCATCGGACATCTCCGACGAAGAGATGCGTGTTGCTGGCATGGAACTCTTCCGCAGGGACAGGGAACATAGAGCAGGAGGGGGAGTGGCTATCTACGTAAACTCCTGTTTAAAGGCAAGGATGGTTAGCGATACGGCCTTAACCCAGCTCCCAGAGTCTCTATGGTGCTACTTCACTCTCTTCTTTATTCTCTCTTCATTCCTTTACCACTACCTTACTATTCTCTTCCAGGTACCTACACAGACAGGAGTCATGGCAGTTCTCTAAACTTCCCAGCAACCCGTAGCTCCCTAATCACTCTACAAATTACAACCTACTAACCCACAAAACATCCACCTCACCGAAGCTAAAAGCAAGAAAGCAGAGGGGATTTCCTCGTCCACTGCAGGAGTAAACCGAACAACTGGAACCAAGCCCTAAGAACTAGACGCGAGAGATCAAAAACTACTAGTTTTCTACGCTCGCACTATCAATATTGGATATTGGATTGGATATTGGAACTGAACAAGAAGTACGGAGTCTCGGATATAGTGTTTACAGTGCACAAATTTATCTGTTTTCAACTATGTCTTTCTTGTCATGTGTTACTTTTCTGCTCGATTGTAGACCGACATTTCAAAAGATATAGGGTTGTTTGAAGAAATGAAATGGAGGTAAGAAATTTTCAGCAAATACACATTTGGACGTGAGTGGTTTTTCACCGCTTCGCACGATGTTGGTAAAGACATGTTTTAACGTACCAAGTGGGAATGGGTGCTTCATCGATTGGAGCTTTGCCGGCTAGATGTCAGCTGTGTTACCTGTTTGTTTATTTGGGCACACTATGTTTATTTGATAACTAAGGACACATGATTTCACCACATTTTCCTTATTTCCACTCTGTTCATTGCTGACTGTCCTTGTACATATTGGACTAATAATCATGGACGGACTTGAGAAGTCAGAAAAGGACGCTAAAGCACAGTCACAGTGCGCAAGACGGAGGCAAGGTAGTGTGTTTTCAACAGTTTCATGAGTGGCTTATCCAACAGAAATTATTCACTTGAAGATATTAGTACCATCGATAGCCGTTGGTGCAATTATCGGCAAAGGAGGAGAGTCTATTGCGAAAATTCAGAAGGAGACAGGTGCAAGAATAAAACTGTCCAAAGTAAACGATTTGTACCCTGGTGAGTGTATTTAGGCTTTTAATTGAAGCGTTGTGGCTGACTTCCGCGTCCGTAGGCGTCACTACATTTATGAGCGTTTGAGCCCTTAGCTAAGTTTTCAAGATTGAAGTGTTTATATTGTTCTCATATAAGTTTAAGGCGTATTGTCTAACTTTTTGCCTGAACGGTCTAGGATCAACCTCATAAAACTAACTCGCTTTTCCGAATCTTGAACGGTAACTGCAGACTAGAGATGTCCCCAAGAAAATCTCACTATTAATAGGCGTTTCTAATCACTGAATACACTTAACCTACTCATTCCACATTGGTGAAGACCTGAAGTCTGTATGTCTTCAAGGTACGCATAAATAATGTTGATTTTCCTGTATCTTGTTTATTCGGTTTATCTAACTCAAGGGAGACATTAATTTAAGTTTGTCCTTTGAAAGTTATTTGTATGTTATCAAGCACTTAGTACAACAGGTGCTAATAAATTTCTGTTTTTGTGTTAAATAATTTGGGAACTAAAAGTTTCAGTATATAGTTTTAAAACTGGCGTCTTCGATGAACTTATTTGCAGTTATGCTACAATTACCGTGCTACAATATGCTACAATATTACCGTGAGATTTCTTTTTTTATAGACGAAGCTTGAAGATGTTTGAGTTTGTAATACTGGGGATCACGTCATCCAGTTCAAAGCGTTGGGGTTCCTGTAAATAGAGCTGGTTTACTACTTTAATATTCTGGAGGATATAGCTTCGGAGTCAGTCACAGTTAGGGTGCTGTACTGCGTATTTAACATAAGTTTACTCTGTGATTGGCCTAGCAGCACCTCAGGTTCTAAAACAAGGAGACCTAAAGTTGTCGTAAGCCATAACCTAAAGGCAATTACAGATTGTGGTGCTATTGCTGATAAAGCGTTTTACCTGCATTTGTATTCGAATGATGAAGCTTTGGCTCATTCATTTAAGCCTTAGGTTCGAGTAACGCTCCCTCTACCAAGGTTTAGGCAGCCAGGTCGTATTATTAGCCCTCACACAATAGATGTGTCTCACTGCCTACTGCACGAGTGTGCACAAGTTTACTCAGTGCATTTCGTTAATTCGTTTCGCATTCGAATGCATTGATAAAGATAAGTTTAGAAATCTCTTCCACTTATATAAGGCCTCATTTGGAATCATGTATCCAAGCAGCTAGTTAGTGCTTCAGAAAAATTTATATAAGTCTGATGGGTGGACACTCAGTGCACGTCTTACCTGCCTCTTCCATGAAGAGTGGTCAGCAAGTCTAAATCTTTTCCCTTTTGTTATCATAAGGAAAGAATCGTTCTGATTCTAGCCTTTTGTATGCTGAATAAGGACTTCAGTGTTGATTCATCTTACCTCTTCACTCCCTTTAGGACTTATCACCTTACACGCCATTATGGAAAGACCTAAACGCTGTAATGAAGCCACCGACTGGAGTTTCGTTTTTCTTACAGTGATCATAGGCTGGAACTCGTTACCCGACAAGTGGTAGCAGCTGTTTCGGTGAATGCATTCAAGGAGAAACAAATGTTCCATGAAAATAATTACTGCAGAGATTAATACAGGCTACGGGTTTACTATTTTTATTACTGAAGATTGAATGTACGGAAGTTTGTCATTAGGATTTAAACTTGTCCAGAAATCACTTCATACGAAATATGTTGTACACAGTATACACAGTGACCCGGAAATACAGCATGCGAGGTTCATTTTGACATGCATCTTGACTTTGGAAAACTGATTCAAGTGGTACGGTGCCTGCGTACCGTCGTTAACGTAAATATTGCCATTACTCTGCAACCGATTGTAGGAAAACACAGCAATTTGACATTGTGACCTCGTACAGTTTCAGTGAGTTGTAAGTTAGATTTATTGTTTAGACACGAAACATTCAACAAAAATGGGAATATATTTGCCTTATTTCAAACAATCCACTTTTCTGCTATCTAAGTTTACGGTACTAGAAAAAGGAGTCTGTAAATCGACTAACACATACTTGATGTCGTCGACTTTGTGATTCTTATACTTGACCGGTTAGGTTACTTGTCCTTTACAGTAGTAGGAGTTGCAATGGCATTCGCTCTACTAGTGACAGAGATCAACAAAATGGGACTTGGTAGATACTGTGTAATAATCCAAGTTGTTACATACCCACCAGGGTTATATTTGCAGCACAGTGCTCCCAATACGTGTTGCTGCAAATAACTCGTACAAGAAAACTAACTAGGTGGGTAGTGAGAATAGGCCCGTAAAAACAAATTGAACGTGTCTGCGAAAAATTTCATCAAACATGAAACACATTTTTAAAACTAAACATTTACCTCTTGTGGGTTCGGTGGTATAATGTACAATAATAGCAATTTTAAAGGTGTTATTTTGTTTTGAAGCATTTTTTAATGTCTACCTTTCAGTAACAATGTTAATAATCAACGTGGTGTTTGGAAAGAGATTAGATATGTATCTTATTGATCTCGTTACGTCTCCGTTTATGTATACACACTTCGTATTTGCTGAAAATACGATATTGTTAAGGTACAGACTGTAATAATGGAGCAGATAGAGACAAGTACGAATGTGCAGATCCTTCTGACATGTCTGAATAATTATCAGTGTTCTCATTACTTCAACCTAATTGTCTATCATCAGACAAGAACAACTTCGTTCAGTCAATATCATTACAAATATTTATTAGTCTTGAATCGAAATCTGTTTTATTCTTGTATACACTATCCTTGAAATATCCACCTGGGGGGCATGGATGCTGTATAATGTAACAACATTAGCTTTTCAACGTAAACGTTTGCTCTAGGTGGCCTTCTTTTATCTTTTTAAACTACGACAAACCATTGATTTCATAGTCGAGCTATTGTATACATTTCTTGCCCCTCCAGATTTTGTTAATCCTATGAAATGACACTTGACTGTAGGCTTTATTGTAGCTAATGTTTTGCACCTACAAAATGTAGAGTACTCCTTAAAGTTATTCAACTCTGCATATAGTTTATTTTTAAGATAAATTTGTTGGTTCCATCATTTGAAGATATTTTTGTAGAAATAAGTAAGGTTAGGTTGGCAACTAATGGAAAAGGCTATTCGCAGTAGTGATATCGCACCTAGTTGCCCATTAGTAGCTTAGTGTATGTTCAGTCGGTTAAACTTGTCGCATCGTATCTTCGTAAAATACTACTGAAAACCGGTCGATTGATGGTATTGTTAGAGTTCGATCATCAACTGATATCACATCCAATCAAAAATCATTTTATTCTGAGTATTGCATACGATTTGAATTGCAGATGACACCAGATGATAGCATTGTAAATCTCTATCAAGAGAAATGGTCAGGTCTTTTAGTATATGCGTGGACAATTTAGAATTTTAAACTTGTATATGGCATTACACAGTTACTACTAACTGATACACATCACTTATTGTATTATGGTCTGGCAGAGACAAGATAATGTAGAATCTTACACAGAAGTGTATTAGGTGATTTGCAACGCTTCGCAGCGGCGTGCAAAGTAGACTGCAAAAGAATGATACTAAATTAGACATAAGTGTATGAGGAAGAAGAGGTTAAGTGATTGAAGGTTGGTAAAATCGGATCGAACTTTTGAAAATTACTAAGAATGTTTCCATGCTTCAAACCAACAGTCAGGAACTTAATAGATTGTTTTCATTTCTTTGTCTGACCACGAATACCTGTTTCAAACGAATCGTTTTTGACTGACACGGCACATCGAGATAAGGGGCAGCTCATCATGAGCGACATATTTGAAGCCCCTTTGTTAGTGGTGGTTCACAACACCAACTGACATGTCTTTCTTTCGCAGCATTCATAGCCTAACCTCCGAATTCCTTATTGCGATTCCGGAGTAGTAGAGAATATTTGGATGCGCTATGTGGACGAGACTTTCGTCATCACTAAAAAAGATGATATGGAAAACACTCACAATTTGATCAACGACATCAAATTCACAATGGAGAAGGAGTCAAACAACCAACTACCATTCCTGGATGTTCTAGTCAGTAAGACAAATACCGGAAAACTGGAAACCCAACTGTACAGGAAGCCAACACACTCTGACCAAATCCTCAACCACAGTAGCAACAACACAAAGTCAGTTGCGTGCAGACTCTATTCAAAAGAGCGAGAACACACTGCAGTACAACAACTACAAGGAGAAACGAAGAAAATTATTCGAAGTTCACCCTAGGAGAGAACGGCTACCCACGAGACTCTAGCAGAAGATCCCTATCCCGTACATCATCAACTACAAAGTCATCGACAGAAATCAATGAACGCATCATCCTACCATACATAAAGAATATATCAGAAATCACGACAAGATTATTGAGATCACTCGGAATTGGTGTGGCTCATAAACCAACGAATTCCCTACAAAGACTATTATGCAAATCAAAGGACGGAACAACCGAAGAAGATAAATCGAATATCATTTACAAAATCAACTGCAACAACTGTAGTCAACACTACATTGGACAAAGTGGTCGCCCTCTTCACCTTCGTCTACATGAGCACCGATTGGCTATTAAACGATACGACATTTCGTCACTCATTTCAATGCATGTGGATAATTATGGACATGAATTCAATTTCGACAATGTAGAAATTTTGGACAGAGGAAACACGAAGAATACCAGAGAATTCCTAGGAGCTTGGCATTCAGGTCAGTCAGTAATCAACAGTTGTATAGACATGGACCCAATCTACCAACCAATAAGAAAAATGATAAACGACAGAAAGGTGAGAGGTGAAGCATAGGAACAGCCAATAGGGAAATCTATACAGTCGACGACACAACAGCCAAGGGAAACAACCAATCACAGACCACTTCATCAAGGCAGGCTACTAAATCCCTCACGGAGAGATATTGATAGCTCACTTCATACTGAAGTTAGTGTTGATGATGTTGTCTAGAAAGACGATGAAAGCTTCATGATTAAACAACTCAGCTCAGGGAACATAATGCAACAAAGATTATTGTGATTCTGCCATGTGAAAGCAATGATTCAAAGATTGACACTGTAACTTCATTGTGTAGTCTGACAGAATAACATCTTTTAAATAGCAAGATTTAGTTATTACTGGTGTCAAGTTATATGTGTGTTAACACGTCTTACTAAAAACTCTAGTTTTGTTCTTTTCTTTTTGAAATGTTTCGTCACTGCTAGCTAGTTAATTAAAACCAATATGGAACCTGAAGTCACTTTGTATGATGATTCATCCTTGTTCAGACAGATATAATGAACATATGTTTTTTGATCGAGTTGTGAGAAGTACCTGCATTTGTAGCGATATTCGCACTAGCTATCACTATTGTATGCTTCTTTGATCGATACTATAATTTTTTTGGCTACCTTCTAAATACATCTGAGTCTATGCTTTTGTGACTGTAAATGCAGTCATTTAATACTGTGTAATTGGAAGTATGTGAACTGTTTGGCAAGACTATCAGAAATATGCAATCCTTGTACTTTCTGCATCATTCTGAAGTACTAGTTATAGTAAATACTAAGTGTGGGTAAATTAATTCATATTTCACTTCCAAAAACGGCATACTGTGTAACTGTAGAAGTTGCCACATCTCACATAAAGGTAGAAGACAGCAAAGTGAAAGGTAGAGAAATAAAGAAAGTAATCAAAAGCAGTGAAAATTCGCAAGAGAAGAGGAAGAAATAATAAAGCAGTGACGAAATTCGGTGTGACGACTAAGATTAAGATAATGTGTGTATGCATCTGCTCCACGGAGATCGATTCTGAGCCATACTACTTAGAGTATCCAACCATTGATGTTGGTTGTCACATTGACTTCAACCAAGAAGTCTGGATTTCCGTACGCGGTTCAAACCGGTTCGAGACTTCGCAAACCGGTGTAACATTCTAGTCTGGTTACTTTGATCTTTATTCCTGTCTAGGCCTAATGCAGCAAATGTTGCGCGAAGTCGTAGACGGTAACTAGGCCTGTGTAGAACATGTTCTCGTTGAGTCGATAAAAGCCCACAGCCTCACCAACTTTGCCTAGAGCACTACGCCTGACTTTTATGCTACACAGTTTTTCCATAATGCCATAATACCTATGTTACGAAGGCGACGGTAGTCGAACATCTGAAGCTTTCACATGTTCACCTTTAGTGGCAGCGTTTTACAATCATACTAAAACAGAACGAACTACTGCATAACACTATCCGTTCTTAGTATGCTATCGGATATCTCACCGATGCCGTAGATGGTGTAAGCGAGCCTTTCGCGTCCGTGCATGAATTCACTCACGTGGAAGGGCTAATCTGACTTCCTAAGTATGGGAAGTGACCAACGCTGTCAACGACTTCGTCCCTTTTATTTGACAGGGTGCTGACGCAGACCAGTTCTGAAGCAGCATTTTGTACTTGACTGGTGAGAAACGCTTCCCAACCATTTTCACATTACCGCTCAAGGTATCGAGAACTGCATCTTGTCACCTAACACTACTGTCATCCCTGTACTCTAGACCTACTGAGTAGTCTCCTACAACATGAACAATCTGTATAAAGTTGGAAGCGGAGAGGAAGACCTCTGTAGTCCCGTATATGACACTTACATAATGGAGCGAGTGGCATGCTTGATGGGCATCGTTTGACGTACGCAACTCACCACAAGTTGAGACACGCCCATAGGTGTTCAAATTTAGCACCTTCAAGAAGGTGACGGGCTTACCTGACACTTATTTCAGCGAGAAACAATACCACGAGATTTCTCAATCGGCGGAGTCAAACGACGTTTTGGGATCGAGAAATACCTCTAGTTTTGAGCTCTGGTAAGTGCATCTGTGTTCCAAGACCTGACAGAGGGTGAATATCTGGTCGATACAGCCGCAATCAGTAACAGAACTGACTGGATTCCTCAGAATCGCCACTGCCTAATGATTATGAGACTTAGCATCTTAGACGTAACGTTCGTTAGACCAATACCTTTGTGGTTATCAGAAAAGAATTACTCTGCTTTTTCGAAGAATAGGACAAACAGTGATTGGGGTCAATCTGAAAAAGGTTGTGTAGAAATCATATATGCTGGCTAAATTTTTAGTTAATCTAACCTGTAATCCTTGTTCACAGTCCTTAAATACCTATAGTACTAACGCAACAGAACCTGATTTCCTTACTCGTTCCAAGTTATTCATAACCTTCGTAACTTCTACAAGAGTCGGAGTGCATATCTCAGTGTTCCATTCAAGATCCTATTGGATAGGGGGCAATCAAACTAGCTGGAAGCTAGTTGGACTGTTCACTGAAGTATTCCATCCATCATTTCAGTCGTCCCATCTATGAGTTAATCACTGATCCTGCCTTCTCCCTTTCAGTCTCACTAGTTATTCACCTTTTTTGGCCTATTTTCGTTGATTAGTCAAAATAGCTGTCTGTTGTTACCCGTCACCACTGCCTTCTCCATCTTTCAGTCTTCTCTACCCGTAGTCATTGCGTAGATTTCTCGGAAGCCTACATTTGAGTTTCTACCGTTAATCATTTTGCTCGCAACCTGTAGGTATTCGTTTACGTGCATCTAATAATTCAGATGAAGCTCCTGAGTAGGATTGACACTTTCTAACGTCTTTCTGATATCCAGTTACAGCATTTAACGCTGTTTTTACAGCACAAGGAAAATGGTACCAGGATGAGTGACGTCCGTTTCCGATAACTCTAGTCAATTCCTCGCCGAAAGCAGCTTCAATATCCTCATCACCGGGTTGCTTACAGAATGGTCTTGTACCTGTAGTGTTTTTGTGTCTAGATAGGCATACTCAAGCTAGCACGTGATATTTATCTAAACACGTGTTCCAGATGGGACAAAAATCTACCGACCTTATACAGTGATAAGTGATAGCAATACTGTTTATCCGTGTTCAGCAGAGAGTTGAGGTCGATGGACGCCACATCAGACGGTGTCTCCTTTTATATCTGAAATTCATGCTGGCCAGAAATAGGTGATTGTCTGAGCACAGGTGATCGCCATTTTCCATTCATCTGGCTGGGATTCCGAAAGTACCACCCAAGTGCATTTTTATATGAATTAACCCGCCCACTTGTGCAGTGAGGTCGTCTTTTGAGACAACCAGGTCTGAACGTTTCGCTTTCAGTAGAAGTCATCTCGATTGTGGGAAATGATCATTAGGAGTGGGCTTCATGTTTTATGCGTATTTAACCACTGCTACCTTCATAGTATTGATGGAATACAATGGAATTGACAACAGTATTTAATTCAATAAGTCCTCTAGGTACATTGTATTTCAGTAACCTCGTAATAAATTGTGGTAAAACTTTTTCCGTCACCGAATTGACACCAACTTCAGATACTTATACAAATCGTTATTGATTTTAATCAAGTACTGGTGAATAGCCATAATAAGTGGTAAAATGTCTGGCATGTATATTTCTTACTTTTGTAGCTGTGAATATGTTCTTGGTTGCCTATTAGTCTTGATTACTCAGCAGATAGTTTTCATCACAAGTCACCGTCTGCTCAAGGGGTGGCTGTTCTCTGCTTCTGTTTTAGAAGACATCAGCGCTGACATTCGATTACTGATAGGTAGAAAATCAAGATCTCCAAGCTTTCGGCAAACGTATGCTGTTTAATCATAGTTAACCATATCTGCAAGGTAGAAATCCGAATTTGATGATGAGCGTTGTTAAACTGATTTAATTTTGTGACAAAATTTGCTATGATGGTGGCAAATTACATGTTTTTTTAAAATACAGCTTCTCGTGGGTGTCTTTGAAGTAAGCTGTCCTGATAATATACCCACGACATTTGTAAAGTTACAGATAATAGCCATCTGTTTTGATCTTATATGCATAATAACACTACTAAACGTTTTTAGGATCTAACAGTTTTAGGTGGTCGTTTTAAAACTAATTTAGGACATTTGCGCCGTCGAGGCCTGGTTTCCTTTTAATGTCAAGACTTTGGCCTTTGCAGGAACTGGTTAGTAATTCTGTTACATACTAACATTTTGTCAATATTTGAGTGTTTTTGCTTGTGTGTAAATATTTACAGTTATTCTAACCAGCTAGAAAATCGGTGAATTATGCAGCGTTTGGATTGTATTGACTTTTTTCGTGCTCATTTTCTCTTTCTCAAGTGCATTCACAGACACCTCACATAGTAAAGAGTTTCCTTACTGAGTGACCTTATCATAATAACTTTTCTGCAAACATTTTAACTCACAGACAGATAATCTTTCGTTTATGTGCTTGTCCGACTTTCTAAAACACTCTCAGGCTTTTGTAATCTAAATGGGCACTGTATTTGTGAAAACAACTAGCTAGAGAATATGTTTTACTTGCTTCATTTTCGTGCTGAAAGTAAGTGACAGAATCTAAGGTTGATATGTTATTACTTATTTCATTTCTAGGCACAGAAGAAAGAGTTTGCCTTATTCAGGGCACTTTAGAGGGTGTAACTCGCATGCACAATTATATCATGGATCGTGTGTTAGAAAAACCAGAGTGTTCTGATACTCCTGGAACTGTTCTATCCAGTGTTACTACCAACACGGCACCAACTTCGCATTCTGAAAATACTACTCTCAGTTTTGTTGCTCAGAGTGACTCTGGTCCAGGTGTACCACCACATTCGCACAAAGGAGCTGCGTGGACTCATGGCTTGGAGTCCTCAGGCTGTCGTTTACCTTGGGGACGTCATAAACAAGTAATTTTCTTTTCTTTTGTATTTCTACTCTTGTCGAACGTATATCTTAAACTTTAACTGGTCATTTTATTGTGTAAACTTGATTTTTGTGGTTCCTTACTATTATCTGGTAATGCCAGTTATTTTCTAAAAGTTCCGACTTTCCATCTTTTTCGGAGATAGTTCTTCAACAAATTCTTTTCTGAGTAACTTTAAGCCACTTAAGCATTGATAAAGTGGGTTGCTCTGATCAATTACTCACTTCAGCCACTTTCGTTACCGTAATGCTGTTTCGAACATGTTTGTGAGTATCCTCTGAAGGGTTATATGCTTTTTAAAATTCTCATGGCAGTTTCATCTTTTGTTATATGACAAGAAAATTTCCAGCATAGAGAATTCCCACTTATGCAAGTTTGTTTATGCGATCACCGTGACTCAATACTAGCGTTTTAGCCCCAACACTGTTCGACAATGTATATTTTAATGCCTTCAATTGCCTAATATGATTGCATTAATGTGAAACTTTGGGCTTATGTTGTTAAAACTACAATGAAGTCGGATCATGTATGCATCTGAATTTTGTCTCACAAATTGGTTTGAGAAATATTAAGATACTACACTTTCTTCGAAAGTACCAGATATAATGTGTGCAATCTGCAACTGTAATGTATTCCAGTTGCTAATTTCCTTAGCATTACAAAACCTCACCTGGTTAACTAGTGCACTAGTTACTAGCCGGTCCTAAGCCCGGATAAAGAGGGAAGGTTGGGCATAGGGCTAGCAACCCTACTCCGTAAAACCAATCAAATCGCTAAAGAAACTTCAATGCATAGACAAAATATAAAAAATAAAAACAAAATTATTCCTTGCTGGGATGGTAGAGGCGAAAGGACGCCGATAAACGAAAGTCTTCGGGAACCCAATTGGCATCATCCTGGAGAGACTAAAGGATGCTCTGGATTCAGAACTACGACCGGGACTTTCATTTCTTCCTCACATGATCTCCTCCATGCCACCCTCGGACGCCCAACTCATAGTTTCTCCATTTGGGTTCCACTTGACGGCCTGGTCTGGTGCATGATATCCCCAAACAGTCTTTTCAGTGTATGTCCAATTCAATCCATCTCCACTTTCTTCTGCATATTTGTTGAGTGATAGGTTGTTGGTTGGTTCGTTGCCAGCCAAAGTTCCTTTTCGCTTATTCTTTCTGGCCATCTGGTCTTCAGTATCGAGCGAGCGTAGGCGGCAGCTGATGCTGATGTATGTCTGCAGTTTGTTGGAAATGCTTTTCGTAACGCGCCAAGTCTCTCAACCATCACATAGAAGCACTGACTTCACATTAGTGTTGAAAATCCGGATCTTATTTTTTATGTTGAGTTGAGTGCAGTAGATCTCCACACTGGTTTCAGGCTAATGAACGCCTGTCTTGCTTCTCCGATCCTGGCTTTGGCGTCCTCGTCTGTGCCACCGCCTGTAGTTGAAACAGTGCTTCCTAGATAGGCGAAAGAGGCTACCTCCTTGAAGTTTCTCCCGTTGAGGATGATTGGAGCTTGTTTTTGCTGTTGTTGGTTGGGTATCTTCATCATCTCCGTCTTCTCTACGCTCACTTAAGGTCCCGTCTTCGCTGCCTCGCCTTTTCCATGAAGTTGTCAGTTTTCGCCTGTAGATCTTCGAGTTTGTGCGCATAAGGCATTAGACATAAATCATCGGTGAAATCCAAATCTTCTAGGGTCTTTCCATCGGTCAAATAACGTATGTCCATCTCGCGCCTCACAGTTTCTTGCGTGATCCAGTCGTGCCCACCCCAATCACGAAGATCGTAGGTGATAGTAGGCAGCCTTGTCTTACTCCTTACTGTCTTCACTTCAAAAGCATCACTGAGCTTTCCATTGTGGATCACTTGGCATGTGGCGCTTTCATATAGCTGTTGAATGAGGTTGATAAAGGTTTGCGGTATTCAGTAGTGTTGAAGGAGTCGCCAAATTACTTCTCGGTCGATGCTGTCAAAGGCCTTTTCAAAACCGATGAAGTTGAGGTAGAGGGTTAACCGCCGTTCTATTCTCTGTTCCATGATGATGCGTAGCGTTGCAATTTGATTTGCACATGATTTGTACTTCCTGAAGCCAGCCAGCCAGTCTGTTCCGGTCGTAGTTTTGAATCTAGCGCACACTTTAGTCTCTCCAGGATGATGTGGCTTAATATTTTGCTTGCAGTGGACAGCAGCATGATTCCGCGCCAGTTCTTGCAAAGACTTAGGTCGCTCTTCTTCGGGAGTTTGACAAGGTAACCCTTCTTCCAATCGCCAGGTACCTTTCCTTCCTTCCTTCCGAACCTTCTGTAATAGTGGTGTGAGCATGTCCGCTATTGTCCCTGCGTCTGTTTTCAGTGCTTCTGGTGGAATTCCATCCGGTCCTGCTGCTTTCCTGCATTTCAGTAACTTTATGGTGTTCAGAACTTCGATTTTTGTCGGAGGGCTTGTGTTCACTTGTAGTTCTGTGGCTGTAGATGGTATTTCTTGACGAAGTGCAGGCAGTGGTCGATTCAAGAGCTTCTTGAAGTGGTCAGCCCACCATTTCCTTTATTTCTCTTCCTTGGTAATTAGATTTCCCTCATCATCTTTTATTGGTTTCATCTGTATTGATCTCTCCCCAGATAGTAATCTGGTTATTTGATATAATGTTGTCAGGTCTCTCCTACCAGCAGCCTGTTCTGCTTCACTTGCCAATGTGTCATGGAAGTGTCTTTTGTCTTTCGGTGCACTCTTCTTCACTTCTTTGTCCAGTGTTTTATACCTTGTACTCAGTTCCTCTTCTCGTTGTGCATCCTTGCACTGGTTCATCCTCTGCTTCACCATCCTCCTCTCCTCTATCAGCTTCCATGTGCCCGTCGAGATCCATTCCTTGTCTTGTTTCCTCTTCCTCCCTAATACGGTTATGCATCTCTTTCAAAGAGTTCCAGTGTTCTTCCACGCCCGATCCTCCAGGGATGTTGCTCAACGTCTCCATTTTGTTCTGATGGCTGACGTGAAGATGTCCTTTTTAGTTTTGTCCTTCAGTTTCTGTTCTAGGTGTTGAACTTGAACTGTGGTCTATCACCAACTTCTCTGAAGGCTTTCAACTTGATTTGAAAGGTTCCTTGCACTAGACAGTGAGTGGTGTGAACCCACATCTGCTCCTCTTCTTGATCTTGTGTCAAGTAGGCTGCGTCTCCACTTTCCTCAGATTGAAATGAAGTCAATCTGGTTTTTAGTGTAGTGTGTCCTGGTGTCTGGTGAAGTCCATGTCGCTTTGTGAATATCCTTGTGTTTGTACACACTGCCTCCAATCACCAAATCATTAAATGCGCAGAAGTCTGCAAACAGTTCTCCATTCTCGTTCATTTCACCGAGTGCTACTCGACTCATGATGAGTTCTCTTCCTGTGTTGTCTGCTCCTAGTTTGGCATTCATGTCACCCATTAGAATTCTGATGTCGCCAACTGGAGTCTTGTCCAGTACTGATTGGAGTTGTCTGTAGAATTCCTCCTTCTTCTCTTGATCTGCATTATTCGTAGGCGTGTAGGGTAGCATTGGATGATTGTGACCTTCCTTCAGTTTGAGTTGAACCTTGCTGTCATGATCCTGGAGGAGACTGGTTCCTACTGCATGAGAGCCTTCAGTGCTCTCGGGGACATCATGATAGCCACTCCAAAACTCAGTGTGCTCGTGGTTGTCGTCTGGGTGACAATATCGCAATAGATTATTATTGACTCCTCTCTAGTTGGCAGTTTGGAGAGTCCACTTCCATCCTATCTCCTTTCGCAGATTCCAATCACTTCTATGCCACACCTCGTCATCTTTTTGCAATCTGGACAGCCTTGCCAGGTGCACACATGGTGCGGACATTCCATGTCCCCATGCTTATTTTCGCTTTCATCGAGAGAAGACACATTGGCCGACTGGCTTCCCGAAGGCTTTTTACCAACCGGCATCATTTCGTCTCTTCGATTCCAGCGAGGAATAATTTTGTTTTTATTTTTTATATTTTGTCTATGCATTGAAGTTTCTTTAGCGATTTGATTGGTTTTACGGAGTGGGGTTGCTAGCCCTATGCCCAACCTTCCCTCTTTATCCGGGCTTAGGACCGGCTAGTAACTAGTGCACTAGTTAACCAGGCGAGGTTCAATTGGTGTTTACTCATTCCTTTTTTCGAAAAGCAATTTACCTGTCACTTTCTCAGTAGTAGGCAAGTATCTGATTTGATTGAAGGTATTTGCCATTTCAATTTCTAATGCCGCTTACTTTTGAAGCAGACTGCCCCCAGTAACTTATTCTCGTTATTGAATATACTCAAATGGTAAGGTTCTATTCCTCAGAGGAGGTTGCGTGTATTGTTTCTTCTCATTGCTATTGACTTCATACTTTCTGATTGTCTTTTGAAGGTTTAAGCTAGATTTGCATAGAATAAGTTGCCTGTCTTTGACCTCAGTTTATATTCTTATGCAGGTCAAAATCTTGGTGCCAAACTGCACTGCTGGTCTTGTAATTGGGAAACTTGGTAGCTATGTACGGGAAATAAAAGATAGAACTGGGGCTTTTATACAAATTTCACAGAAATCTGTTGAAATAAATTTGTTGGAGCGGTGTATAACTATTGCAGGTGAGCATTAATTGTTTGTTGTAATGCTAGAATTCATGTCCGTTTATTATTTTCTCATACAGAGATCTACGCTTTTGGTAATTTACTTTGTCTGTGGTACTCGTTAAAGCCCATTCGAATCGTGTTATTCGTAGTTAGTGTTGATCGATACGGTATACTATCGTTATTTACCAATACCTTGCATTCGCACTGTGCTTTTTACGCAGCAGATTTCATTTATTAAGTTTACTTCGTTAAACATGATGACTGTCTGTCTTTTACCAAATGGAAGCTGATCGTTATTCATTGCATTTGGTTGTAGGTGAACCAGAACAGTGTCGTGCAGCTGTCGATTTAGTTTTAGCCAAAATAGCAGAAGATCCCCAGTCATCTATTTACCCTGTCATTTCCTATTCGCATGTACGTGGTCCTGTTGCGAGTGCTTATCCTACTGGATCTCCCTTTGCAATCATGCCAGCTGTTAGATTTCCTCCATATCAGGGTTCACACTTACATTTGCCTCCTAGTCGTGGTTTGTCAAGTAGTGGTGGTATTGAAACATGGGAGGGGAATGTATCAAGCGGTGTAGGTTTCTCACCTGTTACCAGTCCTTTCGGACCGTCTCTTTTTCAAGCTGCTTTACTTCAAGTTCAAGCTGCAGCTTTAGCGGCCAACTTGAATCCAGCCACTTACTACCCATCCTTGCCTTCTGTCGATGCAACTGCGGCTGATGTGTCGACCTTAATTGCTCATGGACTGTCTGCCAACATTGGTTATGCATCACCTGAAGATCCTAATATTCCGCAACCAGCTCTGCCAGACTATGGACAAGGAATGTACTCATCACCTACTGCGAATGTTCCCCTACTGGGTAATGGTGGAAGCGCAGGTGGAGGTGGTCTCAATCCTAATGGACGCTGTGGTGCACCCGGTAGCGCTTTGGTGCCCGAAGGTAGTTGGCCTGTAGCAGAATCTCAAATTCAGACACCAACATGCTTTGATGCTGCTTACCCGGGACCTATAAATTTCGGTAAGTTTTTACGTATAATTCTTGATTTGTTTCAAATCTGTATTTGATCACGCCCTACAATTTCACATTGACCTTATGCTGTTTACCGTTTTTGATGGTTTTGTGTGTTATATTGACCTATTCCTTGTGACACCAAAATTATTCGCGAATTCAAACTGGCTTATGCCAATATCGATATTAAAGTTACCTTGTTGCAGAATCGCATGAAAAGTAAGTGTTCTGTCCTCATTCTTGCTTCCCTTGCCAATGTTTTGAATTTACGTTATTATCTCAAGACGTGAAGGTGATACACTTCAAACCGATATACAGTTTTTCTATCTGGGCTTCAATCAGATATTTTTTAAGGTCGAAGCGGTTGGCCATAATAACCTCAATATATCCCGAGGCTTATGGTTCTCAGACAAGATAAAGTATTTTGTTACGGGACAAAGATGTTCTTATTGAGACTTCATAAACCGTATCATCTAATTTACGACCTTTAATACGCCCGACATTGGTGTGAGTAGCAAAAACGTCTTGTATTCATTTTATTTTATTTGTCCCTTGGGTTCCTAGTGGAACATAGGGCTTCAGTAACACATCCCCGTTTCACTTTGTTCTCTGAAGTCTTTTTAACCTGGCTCTACGACTGCCCATAAACTTTCATTTCCTCCTCACACGATCTCCTCCATGCCACCCTCGGACGCCCAACTCATAGTTTCTCCATTTGGGTTCCACTTGACGGCCTGGTCTGGTGCATGATATCCCCAAACAGTCTTTTCAGTGTATGTCCAATTCAATCCATCTCCACTTTCTTCTGCATATTTGTTGAGTGATAGGTTGTTGGTTGGTTCGTTGCCAGCCAAAGTTCCTTTTCGCTTATTCTTTCTGGCCATCTGGTCTTCAGTATCGAGCGAGCGTAGGCGGCAGCTGATGCTGATGTATGTCTGCAGTTTGTTGGAAATGCTTTTCGTAACGCGCCAAGTCTCTCAACCATCACATAGAAGCACTGACTTCACATTAGTGTTGAAAATCCGGATCTTATTTTTTATGTTGAGTTGAGTGCAGTAGATCTCCACACTGATTTCAGATTAATGAACATTTGTCTGTAGCAAAAACGTAATTCATACTGTAGTGAACGTTGTTGATAGGGCGACAGAAATCATAGGGAATCACCAGAAATGAGTAAGAATTTTGCCAAGAGCAACACAACAGACAACGTGGTCTATTTAAGAACAAGCCAAGAGAGAAGCCGAAGAGAAAATGAAGTGAATTTTGCAGATGACGGTTTTAGTACAAGGTGTACCATATTTAACGTCTACTGTACCAAATGTTAATAATAAGGATTCCTTCCTTCGTATCTGTCTTCTCGTTTCCTTTCAATTGGTGTCGCTGCTTCTGGACGTAATAAAGATTCTGTGGCCTACAGTGTTCGAGGATGAAGACACCAAGGTCTTCCTCAGGGAGTTGGCGACGCAGCAGTTTTGGATCACGAAACTTAGAATAGACGAAGATCCGCTGGTATTGGCCGTGAAGTTGACTAAACTACTTTGACGGTCACTTCCCACGTTGGATGAGGACTCTCAGGAGCAGTTGCTGGCTGCACAGTTCACCGAAAGTGTCTCGAAAGCCATCACTTAGCAGCTACGACTAGTGAACGCAGCGCAACCCATGGGCATTAGTGAGATAGCCAAGGTCACCAGACAGCTACTAAGTACAGCAGTAGCTGCAGTGGAGTCAACAGAGGTGAATAACTGGAAAAAGCAAATGGACAACCTTCAGGAGGAGGTGCCTGCACTTCGAATGAATACCGACAGATAGAGTAAATGCTTTGGATGCGGAAAACCGGTACACTGGCGAAGAAACCGTCCGGAGAGGCGAAAAAGAAAACGTTTTGAACGATATAATATGAGTTGTGTTTTTCCGACTAGACTAGATGTTGTAGGAGCCATAGATAGAGGTGCTGTATGCTAGAATGCGAATAAATGATCGGGAGATCGTGTGTCCAATAGACACGGGTACAGCAGTCTCGCTGATAGATAAGAGCCAGTCTCACAACATAAGACCACGTTCACTAACGGTCCACACGGTAGGGGGACATGCATTAGAAATCTCAGGCTTATCAGATTGTGTCGTTAAGATCGGAAGTCGGAAAATTAGATTTCCAATCATTGTCACCACGCATCTACAACGGACAATCCTAGGCGCTGATTTTTTTGAGAGAAATGGGTGCTGTTGTTAACACGAGAACAGGAATAGTGGCGATGAAGTATGGGTCGTTCACCACGCAGGAAAACAGTAAGGTAGCAGAGATTGAGTTGAGGTACTAAAAGCACCACATCCAGAAGCGCCAAACATCATGAAGTTGGTTAAGAAATACGACAGATTGTTCACGGGAGATGGAGACCCTTACGGATACTATGACAAGGTTCCGCATGAAATCCCAGTGACAAGTCAAGCAATGACAACATTTATGACACGGCGAATACCATATCACTTAGAAGAAGTTGGGTGCCAGGTTCAGGGGATGCTAAATAAAGGCATTATTGCAGAGGCTGATAGCCCACACAGTTCGGCAGTACTTTCAGTAAGAAAGTCCAATGGGAAATATGGATTCCGCGTTGATTTCCGAGAGTCAAATGGTATAACACAACTGAAGCCGTGTGCCATGCCAACGGTGGCTGAAACACTAGATCGTTTGCAGAATGCAAAAGTATTCACAGTCCTGGACCTCCACTCGGGCTACTGGCAGCTACCAATAAAAGAAAGAGATAGAGAGAAAACAGCATTTATTGTGGACGAGAAGCAATACCAATTCAAGCGAATTCCATTTAATCTTGCAGGTGCGCCATTTACATTCAGATGGTTGATTATGTTGTTGCTGAAGAATTTAGAGAATGTAGAGGTTTATGGTGACGACCTGGTGGTGTGCAGTCAGCCGGAAGCAGAACATCTAGAACACATGGAAGCTGTTTTAAGACGCATTGATGAGTTCGGACTTCGCATCAATGAGACAAAATCTCAGGTGGCCAAGAAGAGTGTTACATTGCTAGGACATAAAGTTGGAAACGGTGTAATAAAACCATTACCTGAGAAAATTCTGACGGTTAAAAGTATTCTAGTGCCTAATTCAAAGAGAAAACTGTGACAATTATTGGGTAGAGCAGCATTCTACAGTTGGTTCCTCAAAAATTTCAATGTGATGGCTACTTGGCAACCCAAATCTAAGTGGACATAGGAGGTGCAGAAAACGTTTGATCACATCAAGGAACTCCTAAAGAACCAGGAGACGACTTTGAAACTTCCGATACCCGGGAGGCTATTCATCGTGTCCACCGATACAAGTGATTATGGAATAGGCGCAGTTGTGAGACAGACTGAAGGAGTAGTGGAATATGCCAACCATGTCCTGACATCTGCAGAACAGAAATATTCCACGGTTGAAAAGGAATTTCTGGCGGTAGTTCGGGCGCTTGAGAAGTGGAGATTATATCTCCTCGGTCAACGATTCCATACTGAAACTGATCATAAACCTCTACAGTGGCTAAAGACAGCGAGAGACCCTAGAGGAAAATTATCACGTTAAATATTACGACTGCAAGAGTACGATTTCACAATCGGCCATGTGGCAGGGTAAGAAGACTGGTTGGCAGACTTCTTATCAAGATCAAACGAAGAAAATGAACTAGCTGATATTGAATACGGTGCACATGCAGTGGAACGGGACCCATTAAGACTTATCTGCCTTAAGGAGTCGGACTCTACACTTAAAGGAGTGATGAACGCCATAACTGAAGGAACGGGGACACAAACGTCTGTGGGAAATAAAGGGTTGAGAACGTTGATGCAGAAAGATCGCCTACGAGTGAATACTTATGGAATGCTGACGTGGCGAGAAAACCACTGGACCCGGTTGGCAGTGATTCCGAAATGTCTACGCGACAAAATGATGCAAAAATGCCACCAGTTAGCTCATACAGGTGTCTCACGGACAGCCGACCTCAGACAAAGTGAATACTGGCAAGGTATGAGAGGAGATGTTGCCAAACACATTCTGGACTGTCCTCATTTTCAACTGATGAAAGGTGATAGGTATGTACGATCACCACTTCAGTCGATTCCAGTGGAGGCAGTTGGTGACTTGTGGTCTGTGGACGTGATGGGACCATTTCCGCAGACATCTGGTGGCAACCAATACCTGTTGGTGATGACGGAGTATGCTAAACGATGAGTAGACGCTGTCGCGATTCCTGATCAACGCGCGAAGACAGTGACTGCAGCGGCGATGCGGCATATTGTTGGAGAGCATGGTGTGCCGAAAATGATACTGACCGACCAAGGTCCTTGTTTTGAGAGTGAAGAATTCAAATCTTGTTTGGAGCACCTCCATATCAAGAGGATAAGAATAACGCCGTACCTCCTGTAGACTAACGGTTTGACAGAACGGAATAACTGTACACTTAAGGATTGGGTGGCTTCGAAAAGAGGGAATTAAGAGACGGAACTGCCGTTAATATTATTAGCGCATCATGCCTCTGTACAAGGAACAATCAAGAGGCTGTCGTTCCAGTTAGTGTTTCGCAGGAAACCACGGCTTCCAATACATAGTAAGGCCTGGCCCCAACAACAGCCATAGAACATGACAAGATTAAGAAAGTAGCGGAAACAGGCAATCAATAATGTGGGACAAAAACAGAAAGCTTATGCTGAAAAATTCGAGCAGAGAGAAGGAATTAAATGGGAACCGTCTGAAGTCGGAGATCAGGTGAAATGTAAAGAACGAGGATATACGTCAGGAGGTGAATATGGTAGAAGAAAACTACTCCCGAAGTGGGAAGGACCATACATCATTACCGAGAGACGCGGTTCAGTTTATACTATCAAAAAAGGGTACGAAGAGGGAAGATTGAACCCCAGTCTACTTCAAAAATGGAAGCAGTGGGATAAAGACGAAATATTGCATGAATATCAACAGAAGACAACACCGAGACGATCAAGACGGCTGCAAGCCCGAAATTTTG